GATGCTTAATGCTCAAATGTTTTCCAGGTTTGAAATAGGCAGCCTAAAGAAATGTTCATCTCCATTTGTATATTTCATGAGAAAAGGTTAAGCTGCATTGATTTTGTGAGAGGAGGGTAAGATAGTAGCAGCTCAATAAGCTTACAATGAAACATGATAACTTCCTCTTTCATTGTTACTCCTGCCTTCATACCTCACTGTCCCCATCTTGTTCTCCCAAGGCATTAGTATGAACAGTTAAATGAGACAAGTTTGGGCTACTATCAGTTTTTGACCTGGAGAAAAAAGAGGAGGAAAGTGATCAAAAAAGGAAAAGAGAAAAAAAAAAGAAAAAGATATGTTGCACATCTTAGGTATAATCCAATTGATGCCTGTATGCAAATAGTGAGCACAGTAACAGATCTTCAGATAAGATCAAGCACTGCACAGCTCTGGAGGAGATATTTCCCTGGGAAGCCTGGTGTTTGGAAATGGAATTTTCAAACAGACAGGTAGGGATTTTGATTTAAGGTTATCAATCCTGGAGTAATCTGTATTTGCAACTATGTTGGACAGGAAGAGAATTGGGTATCATATTTCAGAATGCTCTTACTCATCACAAGGTCTCATGACTCCAACTACTCTGGGTACAGAAGGAGGGCCAAGAAGAAGGGTGTGAGGGAGGTTAGGAGATAGACAGTAATATGGACATGAAAGTGGCTGGAACTCGGTTGGAGAAGCATATTATTCCTAAACCTAGATGCCTGCCCACTGGCAAAGTTAACAGTGCTAATTTGTAAAGGTTCATTTGGGAAATGTTTGTGATTAATGCTTGCTCATTTGTATAACTTTGTATCGTGTAAATAAAGCTGTGGCCTTGGCTTTCAATAATGTTGTACGACCCAGAAATGACAGAAAGTCGGACAAAGGAGGCAATGGGGCATGTAAGATAGGCCACACTGGATTCCAACAGCACCTTTTACTTAAGGAATGTAGAACTGCAGAATTCAGAGTTTATTATTTAAATCTGCCTTCTAGATTTTTCATTAAACATTTTCTACAGTGAAGAGTGTAGCCAATTCAGTTTCATGTTGATTTAGAAATGTTATTAAAGGAGATAAGGACAAGTATCTTTAAAATTCTTATATTAAAATGTAAATAGGGTAATTACAAAATAGTAAACATTCCTCCAAATAAAACATACTTAGTTTCAGAGCTCAGCTATGCAGATTATATCAGCATTACTAAAGACTGTGAACATATATGTGTCACACCATGGTTTGGCCATAAAGATACCATGGTTTGACTGATGAGAGCCTAAGCATGACTCAGAAATACAATTTCTCTCTCCATTATTGTTGGAGCTTTTTGAAATTTAACGAAGGAGCCCAATTTAACAAAGTCATGAACATTCATATACATATTTCTTATGAGTCTGTCGACACATACCTCCAATAGTAAAGACGAAAAAGAATGTCTGACACTGAATTAAGCATTCAAAACCCTTCACAACCGAGCCCCCTCCTACCTTTACAGTGTTCTTATATGTTATTCCCTGACATGTACTCTTCAGTGCAGTGACACTGGCCTCCTGGCTATTCCACAAACAAGACACTCCATCTCTCAGCTCAGAATATTCTCTTTGACTGTGTTCCCCATGTCTGGAATGCTCTCTCTACCCTGCTCTGACCACTGACCTCCCTGGCTTCATCACAATTAAAATCCCACCTTCTACAGGAAGCCTTCCCAACCAAATCACTAATTCTAGTGCCTTCTATCTGTTAATTATTTCCTATTTATCCTAAATATCACTTTCTTTGCATTTATTTGTTTGCATGTTGCCTCCCCTGTTAGATTATAAGCTCCTTGAAGGCAGGGACTTGTCTCTTTTTGTATCCTCAGTGCTTAGCACACAGTAGGTGCTTAATACATATTCATTGAATGGTTGTATATATAAAAAATAAAGAGAATAAATATTAAAAATATGAAGTAGTTAAATACTAAGTAGTTTGGGAGGGAAGGCTATCAGTATGGAAAATCAAGAGAGGTTTCATGTAGAAGATTTTGCTTAAGCTGCACCTTGAAGGAAGAGAGAAGGGTTCTAGGAGTGAAGATGAGGAAGGAGTTGCTTTCAGGAACGGGAGGAAGTCAATGCAAAGGTACAGCAATTTTGGGAGAGAAGGCCAATTTGGCTGGATTATAAGGTCTGGAAGGAGTAGTAATGCACAATGAATGTAGAAAGATGATTTGGGGCTTGCAGAGCTTTAAAAGCTAAACAGAGTTTGTATTTTATCCTAGACTCAATAGGGACCCTCTAGAGTTTACTGAATTATGGGAGTAACATGGTTGTATCTTTGCTTACGGACAATCACTTTGGTGGTTAAGTGGAAGATGGACTGCAGTGGCAAAAGATTAATTAGGAGGTTGCAGTAACAAGAGAAGGAAAGGAAGGTCTCGTTAAAGTGGAGTCTGTATGAGCAGAGATAAGGAGCCAGAGGTAAGAGGTTTTGTAGAAGTAGAAAGGGTAAGATTTAGTGACTTATTTGGTATATGAGGTAAAGGAGAGCTAAGAACTGAGGATGCACTGAGGTGATGAAGCTTGAGAGACTGGCAGAATAGTGGCACCTTCAACAGAAATAGGGAACAGACAGCATTTATCCACTGACTTTCCCTGACCTTCCCAAAGAAGTATATATATATATATGTATGTATGTATATATATGTATATATATGCATATATATGTATATACATGTATATATATGTGTATGTATATGTGTATATATATATGTATATGTGTATATATATATATATATATGATTCCTTAGCAATCTCTGACTTTTACTTGCCATACATGAAATATAAGAAGAGCTTTGTTGTTGGTCAGGTCCAACTTTTTGTGACCCCATTTGGGGTTTTCTTGGCAAAGATCCTGGAGGGGTTTGCCATTTCCTTCTCCAATTCATTTTGCAAATGAGGAAACTGAGGAAAACAGGGTTAAGAGACTTACTCAGGGTCACACAGCAAGTAAGTGTCTGAAGCCAAATTTGGACTCAGGAAGATGAGTACCACTGTATTACCTAGCTCCCTAATGAGAAGAGTAATAGATGCTAACCTCCTAATGGATATTAAGAAAATAAATGAACATCCAGAAGTGAAAAGGACTTTAGAAACCATTCAGTCCACTCCTTTAATTTATTCATGAGGAAAATGAGATACAAAAAGTTTAAATTGCTCGCCTAAGGTCCCCTGCCTTGTTAGTTACAGAACAGAGACTTGTACACAGGTTTCGCAGTTCTCAGGGTCAGGGTTAACTCCACTCTATCACACACTGCTTCTAAGGATGAAAAAAAGGCAATATAGTATTCAATAAGAGATCATATGCAAGGGTTGATGCTGGATTGTTCACTTCTTCCTGTCCCACAAGAAGCTAGAGCTGGGTCCTATGACATGATAATCAGAGGTCATCCCTAGCCCTTAACAAAGTATAAACAAAAAAAATTTCTTAGGGTACAAAACAATGACTTGATTTTATATCTCTCAAACATACTTTTCATGTAATATTGTGTACTACTGCTATCTGTATTTGGGTCTTATCTCACGACTAGACTAAAAGCTCCATGAGGACAGGGATTAGGGTCTTTTAGAACTTTGGCCTGACCTAGCACTCAGCACAGTACCCTTAATAAGTGTTTGTTTTAAGCACCTTAATAAACGTTTATTGAATAAATCCAGAGAGGCAGAGCAAAGTCACAAAGACTTCAGCCACTTATAAGCTGTGTGACCCTAAGCAAACTGCTTAAAATCACTGAGCCTCAGTTTCCTCATCTGTAAAATGGGGATAATAATAGCACCTACCTCACAGGGTTGCCATGCACATCAACAGGGGATAATGTGCTCTGTAAATTTTAAAGTTCTTATAAATGTCAGCTATTATTATTTTATGAATGAGGTGGTAAGTTTGCTCTACTTTTGGAAATAAATGCTTGTTGAATGATTGAATGAACTGAATGAATGATGATGGTGAGTTGTTCTTCTTAACATGACTATAAATAATGCTTCTTCTCAGTCTTTGATTGACAGCCGAAGAACTCTTACAAAACCTTACACTTAAGAGTTCTGTCTGAGTTTATAGTATACTCATCCATATGTTTAGTCAGGTATGTAGAACCTGCAGTCTTGAGGCCACATGTGGCCCTCTAGGTCCTCAAGTGTGGCCCTTTGATTGAAGGACCACACTTGAGGACCATGTATGGCTCCCTACCCCTTTAGATGAATGCCTACATACTAAAATGCAAAGCATGCACTTTAACCCTGTGCCAATGCCTTCAAATGGCTTAGAGCTGACTTTGGGTTCTTGTCAGCTCTTTCAGTTCCAACCAACCTGGAAAGACTTTGAATATGGTGGACTATGTCTCCATCATTGGAAGACCAATCTAAGTGTGTAGAGGAAATGTAGGCTGCCAGGTGATGAATGTTAGGGCTACAGGGACTCATGAAGACCATCTACTAAGGCCTGGAGGGACTGCAATTTGCATTGCTGGAGACATTTACCCAAACCAGGCAACTGAGGCTCTTTAAGTATTGAAGAAATAAAGAAAATGTAGGTTTTGATATGTAGAAAATGAACGGGGTCTTAAGGAATCTTTACAAGTTCATGTTCCTCTTTACTATCAAGTATTCACAAATCTGTCTTCCTATTTTCTCAGTTCAGGTATTTTTTTTTGTCAAGTAACTTTAATGGGTGGGCTCAAAGATAAAATGTCACGCATTGCTGGTCACTTGAAAATGTCCCTAATGACTCCTACTGACCACTTAATCTGGTTCTCAGGTTTCTGGGACTGATGCTAATAACTTTGGAAATCTGGTGCAGCAAACACGAGTGGGTAAAATGTCACACTTCCCAGAGAGGTGCTACATGGTAGAGGGCGCAAAGGGGCATGGACTTCCATAAAGAGACTCATCAGGCTTCTCACTCCACAAGCTACCTACCTATGTAGAGCAATGAAAAGGTGATACTCACGTCAGAGTTAAAACGAAGCTGACAGACGTTACAAGAAATCACTTGTTTCTTCTTTGGGGGAATGGACACTCCAAATGTGTGGTTTATGACTGCCTTCTGCACAGGATCCATCTGAAGAGCAAATGAGAAAATATGTCATTTATAACTTCAAAGGAGAGTGAACTGTGTGAACAGTTTAAATACTTTTTTTTTCCTTCAATATTTTACTGTTAACTTTTTTCCAGAGCTGTGCTATAAAATTAAGCCCTGTGGTTACACAGGACATCTCAGACATTGAGATTGGCAGGGAATGAATCAGAGCACAGGAAATCCCCACAAAATCACCAGGTCAGAAGACAGGTGCCTCCTAGATTAGAAGTCTTTGGATATCACCAATGTTTTAGGGAACCACAAAACATGAGATCCAAGGGTATGGACTAGAGTAATGCTAATATTCCCCCAGATGCTAAAGAGTAGTTAAAGAAATTCCAGAGTACCTAAGTTAGAATCTTTATAAGAAAAGTTATTTCAAGTTTCTTAACTATTGATTGATTCATAGCAAAATTTTAAATAGCAGGCTCATATCATAGAAGACTCCAATTTAAACTTACAGCTGTTAATCTGTGTTTTACAGTGATGCTAATTAATCATTTTTACTCACTCATTCCAAAGTATCAATCACAGATGAAACACATGTCACAATACTTCATTTTAGAGGCTCTCACACCAAAATGTTCAGCATGCAAACGCTGTTTAAATATCGATCTGGTAGATACATACAATATTTTGAGCTTTCAATAAGATGGTATTTGTTTTTCAGCTACTCAGCAAGAATATAAACTCATGTAGGGGAGAGTGTTGGACATGCATGGTAAGAAACAACAAAAATACTCCTTCTTCTGAAAAAGATGCATGATGCCAATGAGAAAGAGAAAAACAAAAAGAAACAATTATTGAGTGCAGTACCTACAGAGTGACACCCACTCTTGGGTGGACCCGATGTCATTCCCATGCAGGGGTTCTTAATTTTATTTTATGTGGGCCACAGCCTCCCCCTTTGGAAGTTTACAGACACCTCTGGTTGAGGAGAAGTTAGCATAACTAAGGATGGAAATTTTTTCCCCATCCAAATTTACGAACCCTGTGAAATCCATGCATGGAGCCCAGGTTAAAAACCTCCAACCTAAAGCAGTAATTCTGGCAGTTTCACATTTAGCAAAACTGACAACATGTCAATTACAAACAGAGAGGATAATACAAGAACAAACTCACACCAGTGAATGAAGTGTCTGGAATTTCGACATCACATCAAAGTAGCTGATAATCTTTGCTGAAACCTGAGAACCTCAATTTAATTGGACCAAAAATGCCTGCACCTCACATGTGGAAGGGACTGAACGAACACCATTACATCTCTATGTGGTTACAACTTAAGAAAGTGCGCTGCTAACCAATGGAACTTTAAAATGTTGTAATGTGTAAGAAAGCAAACATGTGGCCAGTCCTGGCACATGCTGCCCACAACACTCTTGAATAGGGCCTGAACCAGATTAAAATGAGATTGGGTTTAACAAAAGAACTACAAATACAATAAAACACAGATAATGTGAATATATAGTTTTCTAAGATAATATGTGGCCTACAGGGATTCTTATACACAGTTTAATGGCTCCTGTTTCTTTTTCATTTTGACACAGCACTGGTTTACAGTATGAATGAATAGAAAAGTTCTGTTTCTGTCGTAAGGTTACAGTACAGATTCTGACAGTCAACAGTACAATGACATGGAGGGAGAGGGGAAGAGTAGCATTGGACACTGAAATCCCAGCTCCGCCACTAATATAATGTGTGAGTAAATTCAGTTCTTTGGGCCTCAATTTCCTCATTTACAAAATGAGGGGACTGAACTAAGTCATCATTAGGGTCTGTTGCAGCTTGAACTTTCTGGAATTCATAGAAACACAAGTTCACAAAAATAATAGTTATGAGTAGCTCAAAGAAAGGCGTGGGGTAGCCCATTGCCCTCAGATGTTCAAAAAAATTTATGAAAGAATAAAAATCTGTTCAATACCTACTATGCACAATTATTTGGGGTGACAAATAAAAATTTGGAAATTTTATAACTTGCTTTTAAAGTCACAGTTACAATATATTAAGCTAAATCTTCTGGGTCACAGAAATCCTAAGGTACTTAAAATATTTATAATGAAAGTCAATTTCTATTTGCAAATACACAGACTCAACACTGTCACTCATCCACTTCCAGACCACAGAATTAAGCTTGCTACCTCAGGTGCAAAGAAATAGACAATCAGTTCAGCCTGCTGTAAGAATGAGGAATTACTATTTTCTCCTGGGAACAACCAATACTAAATTGTATTCAAGGTTCAAAAATTTGTTTTGATCCTCAAGCACCTTTACTCTGGAGTTCAAATATCTTAAGCAAACAACAAAATTCTGTCTCACAACAGGGTAGTCTTAGGAAAGAAATGTTTATGATTTCAGGCTCTGCAAAGCATTTTGAATCTGGAATTGGTACCTGAACAACATCAGACCTAAGATATAGCTAGCAGAAATACAATTTTGTGTCTTCAGGAACCATATACCAGTTCTTCTTCACTGTTCATAGTCTTGACATACCCCTGGAGTAGAAGCCAACTTTCAAAACTTGCCAGATCTTGAAAAAGCCTTTGTACATGCTTTCAAAACTTCCAGGTTAAATAGCACTGTGCCTTGGAACTCTTATCTACAGCACTTGTTTTGATATTCTGAAAGATTCATGAATTGTCAGGGCAAAATAATGAAAAAGTTTTTTAAAAATCATCATGTGGTAGCCAACTTTCTGGTTATGAACCTCTTTGCCCTTGACTAGACTGGACTTCCAACAACTGATACCCCAAGTTAGTCATTGTCCTGCAGCCATTTTCAAAACGGTTAAGACCTAAGATTATAGGATCATTAGCTCTAGAACTGGAAGGGACCTTACAGGTCATCTTGGTCCAACCTGCTCATTTACACATGAAGAGACTGAGGTTAAATGAAGTTAAATGACTCATCAAAGGTTTCATGGGAAACAGTGCTCAGGACTTCTGTCTACAAATCCTACCCACCATACTGCCCATAATAAGCTTCAAGAGCCCAGAGTCACCACCACACTGGTGACAGAGCAGAGTTTTCCTTACTGGTGGTTCTACTTTGCCAAATCATTTCCTACCACACTTCAATAAGAAAATGCTTTCTATTCTCGCCTAAGGCTGAAAATTCTAATTTCATTGCTTATGAGCTGCTGAGCAGCTTCCAGGAGAAGCAAAGTAAAAGTTTTCCTTGTTGTCCTAGATAGAATTACAACTCCAGAGGTTCCCAAGAAGCCTTCACCAAATGGTTCCCACTTAGAGACACAAACTGTATCATGCCCATAAACCACATTTACTAAGAAGCCTTTGACTATTTTATGTTCTAGTACCATTTTCTCTACCCTTCCAACAACCTGTCCGTTAATTATGCAGGGATTTTTCTTCTCCAGGCTTTTGACTTGGAACTGCTTCTCTCTACTTCTCATCTGACTCTACACTTCATTTCAAATATACTTGGAAAGGGTACAATTTTCCTCCCTGCTTAAACCTCTTTATATCTTCCTTTCTTGGTTATTTATCACAAACGTCTATAATTATAGTGCTGGCCTAAGAACATATTTTGAGACATCACTTGTATGAAAAAGACTCTAAATGGTACAAAAAAGAATGTCCCACTTTGCCAAATCATTTCTTACCTCTAAAAGAGGCAACACTGTCTAGCCAATGTTTTGAATATTTGCCTTCTGATGCAATAACTACAAATACCTGAGTCATTTCAGTAGACTATAGATCGAGCAGTAATATGATAGGTGTTTTTACTTTACCCATCTGACTCTAAAATCAGGTGAAAGTAAGAGCCAACATATAGACTAAATTAAAAACTATTTTCTCGCTAAAGTGATGTCAGGTTTCTGAAATCATAAGGAATGTATAATTAAATCAGTGGTAATTCTTTTTACATTTATTTACCAGTTTTCAGGATGGATACAGTTTCTACAAATATGCTTATGATTTCTGAAATATGCCAAAATTGATTCAGTTTCGAAAAGGCTTAGGAATCAGGCCCTTTTACTGAGGTAATATACAAGGGTAACTGAATAACTGAAGATTATTACATCCACAAAATTCCTTCATCTTCAAGCTTTCACTAGGTGCTTATCCCAGCATTTTGGGGCCATTTTCTTGTTAAAAAAAAACTGGTGCTTCAAGAATTTCACACACACACACACACACACACAAACACACAAGACACATCTTGGCGCTACTGTACAGTTAGTGGTAAGGTTTTTTTTTTAATGTCCTTATTACATAAGCCAGAGACATTTCTTGTTAGTTCACACTGTAAGTAAAAGCCACTGCAAGAGCAATAGAATCAGAATTTGTTGCTAAACAACATTGTTTGCTCTAACTTTTAGAAGTTTGCCTCCAAAAAAGAGGAAAAGAAAAGTTCTGTCAAAAAACTCCACTACCAGCAGTCCTTACCTGATAGAATTTATTGGTCCCAAACAAGTCTCTTCTTTTCTAAAAAAAGTAAAAGTTAAAAGTCGTCACAGGTGAATGGAACTTGAACCTTGTGGCTAGTAGGCACATTTATCTAAGTGAAAGTTAAACATAGAGGAAGGAAGGATGGAAGGAGGGAAGGAAGGAGGGAAGGAAGGAAGGAAAGCAAAAGAACAGATTCCCAGTATCTGTTTCATCTCTGGTTTAAAATGCTGGTACTGTTCTCTAGGGTTACAAAGAATTAACACTTGCTGCTTTTTCAATGAAAATTATGCTGGAGAGAAATGCAAAAACCATTAGGCCAATAAGCTTTTTAGGTACTAAAAATGAAAGATGGAGTGGGATCATTACCAGAGAGAGATGAAATAATTGGAGGCTGGTTATGGACAAATACACTATTAAATTACTTAATGAAACTGGTCTTAGTAAAACATACACTACAATTTTAATATCAAGATAATAATATATACAAAGCTTTTCCCTTTGATGTGGTCAATACAGACTATGAGAACCACAAACCTATATAATATTTGTTTTTACTTACAGATATTTAATCTCATATGACACGACAAAAAGTCATTCATGTTACATTAGGGTGCCTTTTACTAGGTTGCTCAGTACAAGTATCTGAGCAAGGGTATTTAACAGAAAATATAATCTAGCTATATGAGGATGAAACACATTCCTTTCTGATAAAGTCAAACTGAGCAGTATAGGATGTCAAAGATCATGCTTTCCAAGGTACTTAAAAAACAAACTAAAACAAAAACAAACCCTAAATTGTGAAATACTTAAAGAAAGGAATGTTTCATAATTTAGGGTTTGTTTTTAAGAAAGGAGACATATATTATGCATATATAATATATATACACACATACATATATACATAAACAAACATACACATACATACGTATATACTATATATACACATATACATATGTGTGTGTGTGTGTGTGTGTGTATGTTTTTGCCAGCAAAGTACAATGTTATAGCAACCCATAATGCGTAGTGGTGCTGAGCTCTACGCATGAAGGTAAGCAGATTACCAATAATTCTTGAAAGTTATGTCAGGGAATAGACAGTTGCTGCTGCTACTGCACTAACAAATGAGTAGAATTTGAGTCACATCCCAAAATATCTCCATTAAAGTCCCAAATTGCTTTCAGCCACCAGCCAAAACAGTAGAGAAAGAGTGGTAAGGCAGCTGCACCATCAGAATTAGACATCAGCAAGGTACCGTAGGAGGAGGGGCGGGCAAGAGAATTGCCTATAAGCCAGTATTTCGATTGGATGCTGCTTCTGGAAACCTGTATTAAAAGCTACCAGACCCTTACCGTGATTGTGATCCCATTATCAATCTCAGTTGACTGTTAACAAAGCACTTGAACAAATATTTAACAAAGCATTTCTCAAACACTTATAATAAATACAATGGTGGATAGGAAATAGATTATAGATATATAAAGAATATACAACCAGCTATTCATAGAAACCAGTACAAATTCTACCTATGGGCCATGGAACTTGACAAAGCAGAAATGATAGCAGGGTTCTCTCTTAGTCAAAGATTTGAGGTAAAGTTTGTCTTCCTACTCCAAAGCCTCTTCTTTCTACATCTTTTTCTTTTATGTAGTATCTCCTAACTCAGGGGTGGGGAAACTATGGCCTCAAGGCCACATGTGGCCCTATAGGTCCTCAAGTGTAGCCCTTTGATTGAATCTAGACTTCACAGAACAAATCCCCTTAATAAAAGGATTTGTTCTGTAAAACTTGGACTCAGTCAAAAGGCTGCACCCAAGGACCTAGAAAGCCACATGTGGCCTCAAGGCCACAGGTTCCCCACATCTGTCCAAACTCATTCAGGTCCTGAATGGCTTTTCTCTTCCCTCTTAATACTCTTTCTTTAGGGAAAGATCTATTCTCAGTCACTCACACTTGAATAGGAAATTGCCAGTTTTACTTTACCCATTTTATGTCTCCTGAATGAAAAATGTCAGAGAGGCTTTGCTAACTTCTTAAAAGAACATGGGGCTTTGGTAAGAATGGAAGCATGTAGAGGGCTGGAGGGGAGGACTTCCTGTTTGCCCCTAAATTCCCACTCTTTTAGGTAGATATCTATTCCACCTCAATGTAAAGTCTGTTTGTTATGCTTATTAGTGTGGAGAGTAGTTAGTTTTAGGATGCTTCCTAGGGGAGGTGAAGAGTATTTTCCCTCAGTGTCCCATCTATATCTTTCCTGCCACAATATAAAAATTCGTTTCCTCTAAGTCTAACCTTGGGGCTTTTCAGCCTAATAATTGCTGGCTTTGAATACTCAGTATTGAAAGCTTACACAGACCCACTGGCAGACAAAACCAAGAATTTGTACCTGTCATAAGACTTACTGCAAAAATGCCCTCATTCATCAAATTCTTATGACTAATGGCTTTCTGGAAATTTGCAAAAAGTTCTATTTAAGGTCTTTATCAAATTACTGGATATAAGGGGAAAAATATTCTTTATTCTTTCCTTTTTCTACATTATTAGTGAGCCATTTTCACAGAAGAATTTGTGAAAAATAAATCTTGAAAACTCTAAATCTTCAGGAAGATAAATTTATGTCAAATGACAGTTGCTTCATAAATTAAAGTACTTCGAAACCTCCAAGGAATTGACTTTTGTCTCTGTTCTGACCACATATCTTTGAATTACTATTTTACTTCTTAAGTCCTGGAAAATTAAATACAAGAAAACTAATACAAATGGCAAGATGGCAAATTTCTCCTCTCAAAGGTCAAGAAATGCAAACATTTTCTTTTTATTGGCAAAGTTAACTCACCCACACCACAGCTTTGCATCATTTTCAATTCTAAATCAAAATAGCATGCGAGCACATGAAGTCTATGATGCCATAGTGGGAGTCCATAATACCTTGTTTCTTTGTTTTGCAATTTTTTTTTTGGTAATTTGTAACCTTAGCTCTACATTGCTGACATTGTATTTCTATAGGCATCAAGCCACAGTTCAAGAACAGGATGAAATGTCACCTTTGCCATCCAGCACCTCACACAGAGTAGGTTCTTAATAATCATTTAAAAGAAGCACATCAAAAGAAAGGTAAGTAATCCCATTTCTCTTTCCATTGTTTTGGTTCTATCAATTGCCAACATCTGGAAAGGGGATTATTCCCCTCCCTCCTCCCCCCATCCCCAATTTATTAATATAACAACAAGTTGGCAAAGAAAGACTGGCTGATAAAATCTATGTACTCTTTCTTTGTATAAGTAGATTTATCCTTATTTAGCACACTTATGAAAATGGGTTTAAATGTCATATCATTTGCCTTAGAAAGGCAGATGTAGCAGAGTAGGCTGAACAAGCCATATTATATCTAAGTGCCTGCCTGATAAAATTATTTTTTTTACCTGAATATTGTAGGGCTATTAGCAGCTCTGGTTGGCAGATAGCTGGCAACATGTGCTTGCAGTGGGAATTTGAGGCAGGGTTCTATGACTCAGTTTTGCCTACTTCCCCTGGGAGCCACCAAGTGGAAGCTAAGGTAAGCACAATTGCTGAACTGCTCCGCCCTGAGACAAGGCAGCCAATCAGACCTCTGGGGGTTGTTACCAGGGGTTTTATATTCCATTACGAGTGAGCCTTAAGTTAGTTATCCACCTTTTTTTTTTTTTTGCAAATGAATGCTGTTGGTCAGACCCACCTCCTTTTCTCTCTTTTGAGGACTACTCAGAGACAACCAAAACACAGCATTTGATTTTGTTTGTATGATTTGTTTTCACTGTGAACAAAAGAAATCACCACTGCCTTTTACTTCCAGCAAACAGTACATCTGTTGCCAAGATTTTTGCCTTGTCCTAAAAAGTTAATTAATTTTTTGCCATACACAGTAGTTCTCTCTCTCTCTCTCTCTCTCTCTCTCTCTCTCTCTCTCTCTCTCTCTCTCTCTCTCTCTCTCTCTCTCTCTCTGTGTGTGTGTGTGTGTGTGTGTGGTGTGTGTGTGTGTGTATTTGACAAGAGATAACTGCAAAAATGTCTTTGGATGAGGTCTGGAACAGGGACTTAGGATCTATCTCAAGAATAAGAAGAATCATGTGTTTCTTATTACCTCTAGAGAATGAGAATTCTGAGATATGTTAGTTTTATTTTATGGAAGAATAAACACACACACAATCTATATGTCAAAAGTCAGTCTGTCCCTTTCCTAACTGCTTCTGGTGGTAAAATATTCCCTTGCAATTAATTATTCCAAGTCCAAAAATGAACTCCTCATCTTCTCCCCAAACTTGTTCTAATCTTTTCTACATCTGCTGATGGTACTAATTACCATCCTCTCAGTCACTCATATTTGAACTTCAGTCACCTGGGACTTTTCCTTCATCCAATCAGTAACAAGTCTTCAATTCTACCTTCATAATCTCTCCCTTTCGCATCCCCCCTCTTCTCCACCTGGCCTCCCTTTCTGCAGTTCAGGACCTTTTGCCTGAATTGCTGTTAATAGCCTCCTAAACTAAACCTCCCTCCCCCAAACATCCCTCCTTCCCTTCCAAACCACCTCCCTAATTCACTCCACTTCCTAAGCTACAAACTTACTCACTTTTGGATGGATTTCTACTTTGCACTTATGGCAAAATAATTACTTGTATATTTGCACGCTCATCCTCCCTGCAAGGTTATAAACTTCTTAATGAAGTAGCCTGTGCAATGTTTCACCTTTGTAGCACTTATTCATTGCTCATGGTAGTCAATAAATAAATATTTCTAACTAGAACTGAAAGGTAGCTCTAGTCAGTTTCCTTAAGTTCCCTTTTCCCACTATTTTTGTTAGGCAATCACCTACTTGCCTGAAACTTGCCATATTTCATCCTCAGTGGAAATCAGAACTTTGCCACAGGATGACTGCTAAAAATGGTAGTAATAATAATTTTAATTGCCTTGATATTCAGTCCATAATTGTGTATGATTCCCTTTAGTATATAGAGAATGTGCCAAGATGAGATAATAAAAACTTTATTTTATGGGAGTAT